AAAAAAAAATCAAGATGGCTGAGATAAGGGAAGCAGCGCGCAGGACGAGAGAAAAGTTGTCCTCGGAGCAGCAAAAAGTTCACAGGGGGGGAAATGGACTCCACTGCCACCTGCTATTTTCCGAAACTCGTATGATGTAGTTTGCATGAGCAAAGAGACCAAAGCTTATAAAGGGAAGCAAGGAGGCACAGGCAGGTATGAGGGGAGAGAATGCAAAGGGGAGAGATCCAGGCGCAGGGAGTGATGAGAGCACACTGAGAGGGGGGAGGAAAAAGAGGTGTTGAGTCTGAACCTCCACCTCACATCAACCCGACTGCATTTAAGTTTCCATCAGCCGCATACTGCTCTACATGTGTTCCTGTGGACGTGAGACAGAAAATAGACCTGCACAGTGAAGAGACCGCACAAGGAAAATATATGTAGACGGCTGGTGGCCAGAAAGCGGATCGATCAGGTTATAATTTTGTCCAAAGTCGAGGGAAAATAAAGTTCATGGAGGAATGAAATTTGAAAGCAGATGGCGAATCCCGTCGCTCCTAAATAAGATTCGATCTTTGGGAATGGAGTGTAGATAATATTTGGTTGGACGTTTGATGAAAATGACTGATTTTTCATTTTGGACAGGTGGGGGTAGATGGAGTGCGGGAGAGGGGGGTTGGGGCAGTGTGGAGGTGACAGAGGATGGATATGATGTGTCTAGGGACAGAAACTAAACTTGGGAGAGTGTTTTTGCCCCCTTCAGATTTCATCCAAGGATCTCATCCCCATCCAAAGATCTCATCCCCTTTCTCCATTTGCGGAGCTACCTTCATAGCTTCTGTGTTTTTTTATTTTTATTCAAAGGAGATTTGTCCGCTTTGTCCCTCACTCTCCATTGCTCTCTTTGTCTTTTTCTCCTCTCCGCCCTTCACTGTCTCCTGTTGATGAGAGGGAAGCCATCACTGTACTTTCACCTTAATCTCAGCTTTATAACTCCTGTCTGCTCTCAGAGGAATAATCTCACAGGTAGCAGAGCTCCAACAAGCAGACTGGAGGGCCTGCTTGGCTGCTTTCACATTATGACATTATTCTTCTGTCAGCAGTGTCAGGAGATACTTCTGTATGATCCTGATCTCATGGGAAATCCGTGGTTTGTTCAAAAGGGAATGTCTGTAATTCATAGCATAGGAGAAAAACTATATCCAAAACCTTATACTACCATCTTAAAAAGGCGACTTTACCTCTCACATTTGATCTTTAACAGTTTTCCAGCTGTAGGGTTAAAACATGTAGTTGGATCTAATTTAAAGTCACATTTTGCCACAGTAGTTTGACATGTTTTCTGTATTGCATGGCTTTTCATTTGTCCATTAACTGGCATTCAGAGGTAAGGCATCGGTTTTACTTTCCCA